GGGGGGGGGGGGGGGGGGGGGGCAAGGCACGGGGTTTCTTTCCTCTTATAATTTCCAGGTCCTAATCTCAGAGAGAAGTCCAGGGAAGGAAGTTAACTCAAGAACTTGGAGGCAGGATCCAAGGAAGGCTACTTAGTGGCTCTTCCTCAGCTCTCGTGCCTGTGCCTCAAGCTCACCCTCCTAACAGGAGAGCCAGCTTCCGAAGGCTAAGAACCGTGTTTTCCTCCTCTTTTGTATGCCTCTCCATGCAAGGATAATTACACAGAAAAAGCCCAGAAATGGTTGTTGGAGTTATTCCAGCTTCTTTTTTTTTTTTTATTTCTCTCTCTCTCTTTGTCTAGAACTTCACAAAATAAACAGCACGGTTGCCCCGTGCACTGTGAGCATCCCGCTTGAATGGAATTTCACTGCTTCCAATTGGGGGGCTTGGTTTTTTTTGGTTCCTAGTAAATCATGAAAGGAAGAAGCAAGCCCCTTGGAGAAGTGTGAAGACCAAGGCAAGGACGAGCCAGCCACTTCCCTTCCCAGCTGGTTCCCTGAGAGATTTAGGGGCTGACTGTCACGAATCTCCCATTAGTGAAGCCTCCAGACCCCTCCTCGCGTGCATTTATCTTGCAAGGGGCATATTTGGGAGATGTTGCTATTCTGTTTTATCTACGGAATTGCTTTCCGTTCCAAGGACTTTTATATAAGTATTCCCTTGAACCTATTCCAAAAAGTGGGTTTTTAACCCAATAGACCATAACTGCAGTGGTTTATCGTGCATACATATTTCCAAATGTGAATGTAAGTAGATTTAGCAAAGTTAAAATAAAATTAAAACTTTTCAAAGGGCACTGTGCTTGCCTTCCCATGTTGGGCTCTTCTTCCTTTGGAGTTCTTGCACCATTTTAAAGACTAGAAACAGGAAGTGTTTCTTTCTCCCAAGTCCTTTATTCTTTTTTTTTTTTTTCCTTCTACAAGGGTGGAGGTCAGCAAACACTGAAGAGACTTCCTTCTCCTCCCCAGGCATCTCCTCTCCAAAGTAAGGGCTGGATTGTCAGTCAGTAGTGCCACACACTCCTTGCTTCCCTCCTGTCTCTGCCTAGGTCCTCTCCAGGCAGAAGCTTCGATCATTTTCCAAAATAGAAGTCTTCCCCCCTCTCAGTCCTTTTGGCTGTTCCCCTCAGTCTCCTTGCCACCTTTTCTTATCCCTTGAGCTAAAAAAAGGAAAGTCAAACCCCTTTCCAGACCCAGAATGTTCTCAGCTTCCTTTCCTCCCATTTTTTTTTTCCTCTGGGAAATCTGGGACCACCTCCTGCTCTTCTGCCACAGGGCCTTCGCGGAGTTTGTTGTCTCTTCTGAAAATAATGGTCCTCTCTGACTTCTTAGAACTTGGGGCTCAGTTGGGTCATTCACTTCTTAATTAAATTTCCCTTTTCCAGCACCTCTTCCTTTCCTCTTCTCTTTACCCCCAGCTTTAACACACACACACACATACACACAGCTCGTACTTTGTGGACGAGCCCATAGAGTCCAAGTTCTCTGATGGGCTTCACTGGTGGTCAGCGCTGCAGGGTCCTTACACATCCTTGTTGGGGCAGTGAAGCCATTCTGGGAAAGGCACTGTTGGGATCTTGCACTCTGCTTCCTTAACTTTCCACCCCTTTGCCATCTTCCCCTGCATGTATTCTGCTTTAAATCTGCTTGCTGTGACGTCACCTGGGATCTGCACGATGGCCTGAGTCCTGGGTGCCACTCAGGACTTACCAGCCCTAGGGATGCTGTCCTACAACGCGGGACACATTTGTGTTCCCTGATCAAGACTGAGATGTTTGTCGGTTATTTTTCTTTTCAATGTGATCTCACAAAAACCAGCTTCCTGGGGAAGTTTCTTTGGGTTCACAGGTCAAAGGAACGCGTGGCAGGAAAGGCACCATGGTAGGAGCAAAAGACAGCTGGTCCTGCTGTTTTATGTAACATGGTGCACTGCATGCTCGTGAGTGTGCAGGTGTGCACACCCATGCACGTACACAGCGGCCAGAGCAGGAAATCTGGCACATTGAGGTAGGATCTCTCACAGAACCAGGAGCAGGCCATTTCAGGTAGGCTGGAAGCCTAGCACACTCTCAGGATCAGCCTGTCCAACCTCCCAGGCTGGGTTCCGAGCATACACAGCCATGCCTAGCTCTTTTTCCATGGGTTTTGTCGATTTGAACTCAGGCAGCTCCTCGTGCTTGCAGAACAGGTGCTCTTACCCAGTGAACCATCTCCCCAGCCCTCTTCTACCATTTTGGATCCTGCCCAGAAGCCCAGCCCCTGGATGGCTTTGTGTGTCTGTCTAAGGTGATTCACCCCTGCGGTGCCCTTGACATTGCACTGCCCCACTGCCCCTTCTCTGCCTTCTCCCTTCACCATATTTTCACCAAACCACTTACCATGACCACCAAAAAAAAAGTGTAAAGGAAAGAAAGGGTCTTGTCAGGAAAGGAGTCAGCCTTGCACACACCCATTTCACAGATAAAACATTGAAGACTAGGGATATTACCAGGGATACTTCTGTGATTTTTTGTTTTGTTTTGTTTTGTTTTTTTCAAGACAGCGTTTCTCTGCGGCTTTGGAGCCTGTCCTGGAACTAGCTCTGTAGACCAGGCTGGTCTCGAACTCACAGAGATCCGCCTGCCTCTGCCTCCCGAGTGCTGGGATTAGAGGCGTGCGCCACCATCGCCCGGCTTCTGTGATTTTTTTTTCCCTAAGCTGCTTCCCAGCCTCTCCCAGTCCCCATGTGCAAGCCAGAAGCAGTGAGTCTTAGTGTTGCGTTCTCACAACTTCCCAACAGACCCATCTCGTCAGAGCCTTTCCCAGAACACACACAGTGACAAGGGCTCCTGGCCCTCCACATGCAGGTCTCTAACAAGTGAAGCAAGTAAGCCGCTGGCTCCTGGTGAAGCCACTACAAAGTCCCCTGCTTCTCATAAACAGCTTTGCCTCAAGGCCCACAGCTCTTGAAAGCAACCTGCAAGCCTCCTGCGTGCTGTGAAGTGCGGAGTCGAATTGGCTGCCCTCTTTCTTCTCTCCCTCATGTATGATTCATAAAGAGGTTTCTACAGGGCCAGTAACTGCAGTCAACCTGGGCTGAGCTCCCACGCGCAGCAGAAAGGGGAGTGTTAGGGGGCGAAACTCGTTTTCTCCTTTCTTTCTTCACGCAGATGTAGGTCACCTCAGGAGAGCAGAAGGACGCTGCCCCTCCCATGCAGCCTCTTCTCAGGCTTCTGTGGTTCAAAATGCTTCCAGCTGCTTCAGCCTAAGAGCCACCTGCCCCTTCATAGTCAGCCTCTCTGCAAAACACAAGGAGGCAACTCAGACCAAGTGCTAACACCAAACGTGACTTTAGGCTGAGTTTCACTAGGCCAGCGCTTTGCTCCTGATCCCACTGCAGGTGTGATGGCATGTGACCTCACACCTGCACCAAGAACCTTCTTTACATTTGGAAGGGATTTTTTTTTCTTGTATCAGAGAGTCACTTGAGTCTCTGAGGTCTTCCTTTCAAAATACAAGTGCCCAGGAGAATAGGAATGAATGCATAGTTGTCAGCTGATAGCAGGCAGTTTGTTTAGCATTTGACAAGTACCTTGTCACAAATCAAAAGTTCCAGGCTAGCCTGCGCTATGTCAAGAGACTGTCACAAACAATCAATTGGATGTTGAAATCCCCAAGCTTGGAAATGGTATACTTCTGCCTTTATTTTGAAGTCATTTTTTTTTCTTGGTTTTTCAAGACGGAGTTTCTCTGCAGCTTTAGAGTCTGTCCTGGAACTAGCTCTTGTAGACCAGGCTGGCCTTGAACTCACAGAGATCCACCTGCCTCCGACTCCCGAGTGCTGGTATTAAAGGTGTGCACCACCACCGCCCTGCTATTTTGAAGTCATTTTTAATAGCATCCCCTTCTCTGATACACTCACTCACTCAGCAGAAAGTCTTTCTGTGTGGGACAATAGGTAAGTGTGTGGAGTGTTGGGGGAGGGGACTACAAATGACTTGGAGACCTGAAACCCTTGTATTTGTGTATTTGGGTATTTGTGTCCCCCAGTGAACATCATCCCGAAGAAACAAGTCTGAGGCCTAGCAGTTGGCCCAGAAGTTTAGAAGCTCAATCCTAGCCTGAAACTAGAGTGTAGGTACAGGTGGCAGGGAGAGACCTTGATACATATACAGAGATGCAGAAAAGCTACTCAGAGCAAGAGGGAGAAAGGAAACTAACTCAGACCTAGGCAGGAGGCTCCCCTGGGTTCTGTGGTCTCCTTCGCTGTAAGGAGCACCCCACCTTACAGACAGGAAACCTCATCTAGTGTTACACGAAGCACTAGGAAGTCAGATTTGTCACCTACATCTGCTGCCAAAACTGTAGCTCTTTCCGTGGAAGCCCCGCTTTTGGATCCAACCAAACCCTGAACTTGCTGGGATCTGGCTTGGGGACCCCCAGAATTAAATGTGTAAGAGGTTTTCAGTGTAGACTCCAATTACGGTGCTTGTTGGCTGGAAGCCTGGCTAATGTTCCTGTAGTCTCTCATCCAAGAAGCCCAAGGAAGAATGACATGAACCCGAATCCTGGCCACCAACTCAGAGGACCACTCCCTTCTATGAGAGATGGGAAGGAATTGCTAGTACACCTTCACAGGGGCGCTCACACAGTGAGGACTCAGAACCCAGTACAGTCAGCCTTATCGTGATCAAGACCAAGATCATTAACATCACTCTCTGTCCCCTCCTCATATCAGGACAAGCGAGGGAGGTCCCCATGGTGGTCCGATCATGGGTGGTGGGGCGGGCGGGAGGGGTGGGGGTGGAGTGACTAGAAAAGGTAAGCGACTCTGAAGTTGCCTCTTCTATGCGGCCTCAGTAGAGGCAAGATTGGGGAAGAAAGATTCCTTGGAAACCAGGTCGCAGAGGAAATTGCCTTGCATTGCACAGGGCCAAGAGGTTGCTGTGGCAGTGCAGAGGAAGCCCTGGCCTAATTGCACTGATAATATAATCCTATAAGTCTTTCTGTCACTGAGAAGGTGGATGGGCACTTCCTGTCCCTGCCGCCCACTGCACATTGCTCCTTGGTCCTAGGAGAGACATCTGCACTCCGAATGCTATTTTAAACTGCCCTGGGCAGGCCCTTGTTATGAAGAGCCTATGGCTCCATGTTAATAAGAGGTAGTATATTAAAATGAAATCCATGCTGTTATCAATAGATCACCACTCTCCAGATCAGATTAAAGCTTCGATAATACAGGATGCAAAGGGAGGGAGATAAGGGCTGTTGAATACCTACTGTGTCACTGGCTCTAGAGACAACATAGAAACTTCAGCGCAAAATACAAATACCTTGGCAACGAACGCGGTCTGATGTATATATACGTTGATATATATATAAGCTTCTGAAGATCACAGCAGAGGCATTCAGTGATTCAAGGCCCAGTCTTTCTGAATGATAAGTTCTTCATTAAGCCTGACTTAATGAAGTCTTGCTGGAACTGTGGTTTTTCTCTTCCTGTTAAAACACTTAGCGGCTGCCCTTCCCCCATCCACTGCTCCAGCTCCTTATTTACTGGGAGTGAACCTCTACTCTCAAGGATCTGGGACAACGTTTGACATTTCTTATTAAAGGTGGGTGAAAAGGGAAATAGAAAGGACAGGATGTGACTGCTCCTAGGTATCGTGGAGGAGAAAATTTCTTACAGATCTGTGGGAGAGTGGAGCCAGAGGCAGGGACATCGGGAAGAGTCCAGAGTGGATACAATTCTGAGCCGTGAGGAGAAGGGGCCAGAGGGGATAGAGGGGAGCCTGGTGTAGCAGCCAGGGGCCCCAAAAGAGAGCGAGGTAACCAAAATGATTAGATTATGTAGGGAAAGAGAGCTGGGGAAAAGGCAGCCCCATCCCTGGGCTGGAGACGTTTAGGGGAGAGGGCCCTGTAACAGGGAGGGACTAGGGGTTACAGAGGAGAACCTGGTGGCCAGGTTCACTTCGCCATGTTAAATGGGCTCGCCAGCCATTTGTCCCAGGTTTGAAACCTAACACACGGAGCCGAGGAAGTGGTTCAGTGGTTTGAGTGGTTGTCATGGGAACATGAGGACCTAAGTTTGAGATCCAGAACCCACATAAAAAGGCCATGGTTGGCGTGTGTAACCCCAGCGTGGGGAAATGGAGATAGCAAGGATACGAGGGTCACTTGGGCACACTGACTAGCCAGCCTAGCCTACTTGGCAAGTTTAAAGCCAATGAGAGATCATTTCAGGAAAAAAAAAAAACAACAACAACAACAAAAACAAAGGTGGCCCTGTGGAAGTACACCTAAGATTGACCCGTGACCTCCACATGCATGTGCATACATGTTTCCATGTAGCTGCACACACAGAGACATGCACACACACAAAGACACACCAAAACTAATGTGGTTTTGAAAGCTTCCTATTCGTGAAATTCAAAGTGAATGTGGAGAATAAATGTTTAGTGACAATGGCAAAAGCAGGCCGCTTAGCCAGGAGAGGAAAAAGGGAGAGGTATCCCCCACCTTCTCCACAGTTGTGTTTTGGAAGAGGAATCAGAAATTCTCCAACCTCCAGCACAGAGGCCTCGGGTCCTTCCATCCGAAACCCAGTTGGACTTTGGGGGGATATTGTAAGGGAGTGATCCAGACCACACGTGTGGCCTCGGTCTCCCAGCCCCTGCTGTGTGTCCCCTCTTCCCACCCCTACAGGCTTGAAAGGACCTTAGGTGTGTCGTGAGTAGTCTCTGGACCCCTAAATGGAAGATTAGCTGCCTCCCAGAGCTCTTCTTCTTCTGAGTAGGTAGAGGAGTCCCCGTGGGCCGTCCTGCCAGGTGGACAAAGTGGCATTCGGCCTGCTCACCTGTGCCTGAGTAGTGCATGGCTTCTCTCCAGGACCTTGATCTGTCAGCCCCCCTCTCTCCTGCTCTCCGCAGCGCCCCTCCCCATGCACCTGTCTTCTGCACCCTACAGTTCTCCATCCTCACCCAAGTTCTTCTCTTCCTCGGCAGTGGAGTCTGCCCTCAACCCTGCTTCCCTTGATGATTTCCAGAGGTGGGAGTTGCCATTCCCAGTGTGGGCCATCTGAAGCTCCGAGACTGGCAGGGGGAACGTGGAGTGGCTCAGAATCTGAACCCAACAGGCAGGCCCCGGAATCTGGCTGGTGTTCCTTGAACTCCTCTGCCTCATTCTTCGGACCCCCTGTCCTTTCCAGTCCCCTCCATCAGCTCCTCCAAGCCCTTCTTTCTCCTTCTTCCCTGGCTACAGGTTTTTCTCCCAGGCAGGCGGCCTGGCTGGCCTTGGGCTCTGATAAGATCTGTCTGGGCTGCCTTTGTCTGGGCTGTACCTGCCGTTCCCTGAATGGCCCTGTTAATTGCAATTGACTCCCATAGAATGTGGAGATCAGTGCCACTTGACACCAGATGGATGTGGATGACTTTTCCAGGTGCCCCAGCAGCAGGCAGGAGGGGGCTGGGCACACATTGTAGGTTTTCACAGTAAAATCAGAAAGAATTAGGGATTTTATACATGGCGATAAGAGCTTAAGAGAATGGGTTCCTCTGGGGGTGGGGATGAAGAGCTAATTTCCTGCTGGTTCAAGCCTGTTGCCCTTTATCAGCTCCCAGCAGCCCCATTTTAGTGGTGGACACACCAAGGCTGAAGGACCAGCCTGCTGTCTGCTGCTGCCCCTCATTCTTTGATGGGGCAGTAGGGCAGGAGCAGACAGGAAACAGGAGCCTGGTCCGCTGAAAGCCTGGGACTCCCTAGAACGATGCTGTCTTTCTTCACTTGCTGGAAGCTCCAGGCAGGGAGTTAATGGGCAGCAGGGAGGCCCTGGCTCACGTTGTTCCACACATCAGTTTGTAGGACAGTCCCAGCACATGTGTGGGGCCAGGATCATCCTATTGTTCTGCACAGAAGAACACCAAAGGTGTTTTCTCTCTGCTGTTTCTGTGGGACCTGTGGGCTTAGGCTATCAGAGATGCCTCATAAAGAGGGGCTTCCGAATGATCAGGAAGAACCACGAGACCCAGAGCTTTTCTGAACTGAGTACTGTTTTGTATCCTCTAATAAGGAGACCAGGAAAGCCCCTGTGGTCACAGCAGAGGGAACCTACACTAGAGAAAGTAAATCCTTCAGAGGGGGCTGAGAAGCCCTTCATGGATACTCTCCAGTTTGGTGTCTTTCTTACCCTCCGCTTCCTTAAGTGTTAAAAGCATGAAGTTCAGAGGTGCTTAGGGCAATACTGGGGTGCACCAAACACCTTTCTTGGATTTCAGAATGACTACAAAGGAAAAAAAAAATCATTCACATACCAGTGTGTGTGTGTGTGTGTGTGTGTGTGTGAGAGAGAGAGAGAGAGAGAGAGAGAGAGAGAGAGAGAGAGAGAGAGAACGAGCGTGATTTTGTTTTGTCAAGTCTAAATTACCACTTAGGGAATTTCCCCAAAGGAAAAGGCAGAGAAACCCCAAACCCAATCCAGAATGGAATATAAAATAGCGACAGGACTCATCCCAGCCTGAGGAAGGCTCCGTTTGAAACTGGAAGCCTCGAAGGGCACGGCCTTTAATTCTTCTACTTGTAGTGCCAGGACTATCGATATCGGAGCCTCTTTCATTAATAAATTGGCAAGTCGGGAGTGGCAAGAATAGAACCCTCTCCCCCCCCCCGCCCCTCCCACCTCCAGGCTCTTCTTAATCAAAGGCTGGCTCGGTCAAACAGGAAGACCATAGAAATCAGCTGTGTGCTCTCTGCTGGGCAGAGATAGACAGCAAGAAGGGAGCCTTTCTTTACCCCCCTCTGTGAAGATGCCAGGCTGTGGGTGAACCCAAGCAAGAAGTCCTTAAAGGCCTGGCAGATCTCAGGCAACTCTGGGAATGATGCGATTTATGTATGGATTAACACAGCGATGGACCCCGAGTAGCAAAAGACGAGCACTAATTACCTGACAACGCTCCCCTCCACTCGCCTGGGTCATTGAAATTAATTTCTGCTCTCAGGTTTGGCAGCCAGCAGCTGCAAGATCTCAGCTCAACGCCCAAATGAACGGGGGAGCTGAAGTCATTTCTCTGTCTGGGCAGCGTTAGAGGAGCAGGCTACCAGATAGGCCTGGATCTCAGACACCAAGGAGTGGGTTATTTTTCTCTTTCATCAAGTGCCTGAAGTCCTTGGGTAGCACAGAGGGGAGGAGAAAAGAAAAGCAACCACCACATATTGGAGAGTTCACAACGAACTGTGAAGACTCACAGTAGATCGCCTGTCTCCTAGATAATTCATAGTTTCTCTCCATTTAACAAGAACAAAAAGTTGAATGAATGGTAGGACTGCACACGCGCACACGTGCACATGCATGCGCGCACACAAAATTCCAAGATGTGATTTGTGAACACTATGCCATAGCACCATCATTGTCAACAAGGTATTTACCTACGTCAAGGTTGAGAAAATACATAGAAGGGAACAAAAGGTCTTGGGTCTCAGTGTCAAGTAGGACACTGTAGTGGATAAGACGTTTATTAGGAGAGTTGTTAATGCCATGGACAGACAGACAGATAGACAGCAGCATGGTTGCAGCTCTGATGACAGCTCTGCCTCCACTATTCTGGTTGTGTTTGGCAATGTCTCTGGTCACAGGCTTCAGAAAGGGGAAGGTTTTGTTGCGGGAGACTGCAGCCAAGCTGTCCCAAATTCCTGGGCAGAGGGGAGGGAATTCCTGGAAAGGAAAAGGTGTGACTCTGAGGAATGGGGGAGGAAGGGCATGTTGTCAAGAGAGAGAGAGAGAGAGAGAGAGAGAGAGAGAGAGAGAGAGACAGAGAGAGAGACAGAGAGAGAGACAGAGAGAGAGACACAGAGAGAGAGACACAGAGAGAGACAGAGAGAGAGACAGAGAGCCTTGTATCTTTAGCCCTCACAGGTCCCTAATCTGGCGACCTGAGATCTGGTAACTGCTTTGGAGAAGTGAGACAGGTATGTGATCATGCTGGAGTCTTGCTTTTGCTCCTACAACAGCTAGAACAAGGAAGGGGGTGTGGCCTGATCAGCCTGAAGCCCCAAACCTAACCTGAAGAGGGTGGAGGGAAAGGGAGGAAATATGAGTCATAGGTAGTACATAACCTCAGGGCTTCAAGTTCACCATACTTCCTGTCCCCTTGTGTTGATTGTTTTGTTGTTTTGTTTTAATGTTGGGGGAGGGTCTGGTTGTGTGGTCCAGCCTGGCCTTGAAAGCCTGTTCTTTCTGCCTTTTCCCCAGCTTGTGAGGTTATGGGTGAGTGCTGACCTTCAGCTTTCTGAATGTAGAACTCTTGAGACTGTTGCTTACAGTAGTATAGACTGACCATTTCTAATACAAAACCCCAAATCTGAAACACTCCGTGTCTGAAACTCTTTTATCTTTTTTTTTTTTTTTTCAAGACAGGGTTTCTCTGTGGTTTTGGAGCCTGTCCTGGAACCAGCTCTTGTAGACCAGGCTGGTCTCAAATTCACAGAGATCCACCTGCCTCTGCCTCCCAAGTGCTGGGATTAAAGGCGTGGGCCACCACCGCCTGGCCTCTTTTATCTTTGTTTGTTTGTCTGTTTGAGTTAGGGTTTCCCTTAGCCTAGCCTGGCCTGGAGGTTACCTGCAGCTGTGGATGACCTTGACTGCCAGTCCCATCTGGTCCCTATGGGCTTTGTTGTGCTGGGCCTACATTAGTCTGGTTTTCTGTGGTACTGAGGATGTTAGGCAAGCATTCTTCCAACTGAGCCACAAATCCAGCCTCTTGAACTTCATATACTATGTAAGAGACACCAATAAATACCCCATTCACATTCGGGTTTCTTCTCCAGGACACCTCAGGAGTCAAGCACATGCTTCTATTTATCTAGCTAAACAAAATCAGCTTTGATACCTATTTCTGAATTATGAATCTAAGGTTTTGGAGCATCTGTGACCAGTGCAGAAATCCCACAACCAGTTCAGGGGTAAGTACCAGGACTCGAACCCCCGTCTCAGCGTCTCCACCAAGTATCCTTACATGTCACCCATGAGTAACAATTAGGCCTCTTCTCCCACATCCAGCTCAAAACCTGTGACCTCGAGGCAAATGACTTCCACACCTCATTACCACTCCCCTGAGCCGTCCAGCCCCCAGTAGACCAGGGAGGTTAATCAGCCACGCACCGAATCTGCTTATAAGGCTGTTTCATGTACGATTTTTATATCTTGGCTCCTAATAATGGTCCCATTATAAATGATTGTCTCACTATGATATACTGGTTCCTTGCCTTCTAGGAACTGATTTAAAAGGAAGCCCTGGACTCCTTGTGCCCACAGAGTTTATTCATACTACACTCTGCTTGCTCAGCAGCTGAAGAGGTATGGGCAGGGGGCGAACAACTCCCCTCTAAAGAAAAAAAAAATTTCCAGCTTGAGGCGGTTGGTGTAATTAGTTCAGCTCAGCTGATGGTTTGATGATGCCATATGAAGACATCCCTGCTCTTCCCAGGCCCCTCCCCAGGCCCAAGCTTCCTGCATGATCTGAAGTGCCAGTGGACATGACTCTCCCTGCTACATCCTTCCCCCTTTCTTTATGCCACCAAACATTTTCAAGACGTCTAGGAGAACTTCAAATAGCAGATATGGTGGAAACTTATCATATACACACACAATGTATTTCCTCTCTCAAGCCTAGGTATATTTGTTCAGTAATTAACAATTTAGTCTCTATTATGAGCCAGTCTTATGAATATACTGTGAACTCTAAGAGGACAGAAGAGGTGAGAGCAAGACACATATTGGTCTGCTCATTAGGAATATGGACAAGAAAGGACTGCACCAGAGAGTGGAATGCTGGCTGTACGAGTGCTAGAGTCAAAGCCTGCACCTCTGATACCCAGGTAAATGCTCAGTGGGTATTATAGCCCCCTATAACCTAGTCATTCTGAAACAGAGACAGGGATCCCTGGAGGAAGCTGGTTTTCTAGGCTAGCCAAATCATCGATCTCTGGGCTCCAGTGAGAGACCTTGCCACAAACATGAGGAAGATGGCCGAAGAGATGGCTCAGCAGTTAAAAGTACCAGATACTCTTCCAGAGGACCTGGGTTTGGTTCCTACCGCTCATGTGACAGCTAGTAATCATTTGAAGCCACAATTCCAAGGATCTGGTGTCCCGTTCTGGCCTCTGTAGGCATTGTGTATATACGATGCACAGGCATGCATTCAGACAGAGCATCCATACACACACATACAGAAGAGGGATGGAGAGTTGGTTTAGCAATTAAGAGGGTGCGCTTCTCTTGCACACCACCCGAGT